AGTGCTACCGAGCCACGGGTCCGCGCGGTGGCGCGCTGTGCCCGGGGGGCAGTAGCAGGCATCCCGGGGGGTGCGGTAGGGAGGGGGGGAGGGCGGTTGGTCGTATTAATTATAGTATGTTATAATCTTTCGATTCGCCAGGATGTTTTTGTTTCCTATGCCTTTATTTACTTTTCATTTTTATTTTATCTTATTAATCTCCTGTCGTGAATGAATTGACGTTTTTGTATTCATTATTCATTATTGGTCATAGGTTATGCTGTCCTCTTATCTTATTCATACCATCGCTCATGCAGAGAGCGTAAGTCTGCTGCTCCCACTTCATGCAGGTAGCCTGTGAGTGCTTCCGTACTGGCGGCGTCACGCTCAATGGTTGTCCACCCATTGCCAAAGTAGTGGTACCGGTTGCGCTGGGCCTGTGGTGTCCGGTTCTGCTCAAACTCAAAGTCTTCCCAGCGTGGGTCCAGACATGCTTGCATGCGATGATGACCCGAACCGGGCCACCACACCAACGTGCGGCCGCCTGCTCTACCGTCGCCGGGTGCCTTGAGCCACGAACTGCAGCTGTCACTGGCTACCTTGTCTCGAAAGTGGCCCTGGCAGTATGCATTAAAGTCCTCAGTGGCCTCTCGACCCGGTGTTATGCTGCGGTACTGCTGGAGCTGCATCTTACGCAGCACTTTGGCAATGTACGTCGCGGACAGCTCCACCTGAAGAGGGATCGACCCACCACCGCCGTTGGCCTGGGCTTGCAGCACCATGAAGTAATTGGGCATGCCGGGCGCCATGACACCGAAATAGGTCTCTGGGTAGCCCGTGGCACCCTCGGCGGACCAGTCGTGGCGAAGGTCGACACCGTTGCGACCGACAACAGGGAAATGTGGCACAAACCCATTGGCAAATCCCGTGGCGGCAATGATCACATCGACGGGACGCTCCACACCGTCAGCGGTGACAAGGGCCGTCTGTGTCGCGGCCACAAGGGGCGTGTCGACATAGGCCACCGTGCCGTCCTCTGCACCCTTGACTATGGTTTCGAGGTAGCCCGGCGCGGGTGTCAGTCGCTTGCATCCGGGCGCAAAGTCAGGGACCAAGCGGTCCAGCCATTCTTGGCTACCGCCGACGCGCTGGCGCATGGTCTTGATACAAGAAGCCCGCAAGGCCTCGTTCTCTGGGCTGCCGAGAATGTTGCGCTGGAACTTGGTGTGCAGGTTGCCTTCAATGGTGCGCCGGTAGGCGAGGTAGGCGGCTGGGTCGGCTGCAAATGCAGCCTTTTCGGCATCGGTATACCGGTGGGCGCCGGGATCGTCGCCGGTGGCTTCGACGAGATTCTTTTGAAAGGTGGGTGTGATCCATACGCGCGAGCGCACGTAATGGTCGACGTGCGCCGCACGTGGTGCTACATGGGGCAGGATTTGCTGGCCACTAGAGCCGTTGCCAATGACGGCCACACGCTTACCGGTGAGATCGATGTTGGGGTCCCAGGTGGCCGTGTGGACAAGGGTACCGGCAAAGGTGTCTACCAGGCCAGGAACGTCGGGCAGCTTGGGCCGGCTTAAGCGCCCCTGGGCGTTGATGAAGAAGGGTGTGGTCTCGTGGAAGGTCTCCTCCGTGTTGAGGTCTTTGATGGCCAAGTCCCAGACGGCACCGTCGGGACGCCAAGTGGCAGATAGGAGTTCATGACGGAGGCGTATCTGGGAGCGCAGGCCATAGTCATCGACGAGCTTCTCGTAGTATGCGCGGATCTCGGAGCCGGTCGAGTAGTATTCGGCCCAGTTCGGGTTGGGAGCAAAGGTGGTTTCTAAGCACGAAGTGAGAAGGATGCGTGTCAAGCAAGGCGTGGCGGCAGGATTGTCTTACGGTAACAGTGTGATGGTATGTCGCATCGCACGCCGGGATAGATGTTAGCAGCCCAGGTGCCGCCCTCGAAGGTGGTTAGCAGTGGCTGTTTTCCAGTATATGGATCGTATCGACTTACAATGCGATCTTGACGATCAAAGAGGGTGTACTTGAGGTTCGGGACCTTGTGTGAGAGCAAGATGGCCGTGATGATGCCCCCGAGGCCAGCGCCGACGATGACGACCTGAACCTGTTAGACACAAGATAGCACGAAACATCTCATATTCTACAATCTGTATTTCGATATACCAAATCTGGGGCTCACTTTTATCGGTGGATGCGGATTTAATGGCTCGTCGTCGGCCACGAACAGGGCGTCTCGTGGCATGTCGATCAGGGCCGACACTGCCCACGACGAACTGCGCGATGTTGATCGCGAAAGAGTATGACGCAAAGAAGGATGCCGTCTACAGACAGCCCGTTGTAGATGTAAATAGAAAAGACAGGGGAGGGTTTAAAACTAAAATAACAAAACAAGATACGGAAGCTGCGATCGTACCATACAAGTAGTGAACTATGGGGGACCCCGTGACGAAGGCTGGACAAAGAAGGAAAGAACGATGCGGGCTGGCATGTCCGTTATCAGAGACGGTTATCAGAGACGGTTACACTCGTCCGTCCGAGGTAGGATCGTTAACGAGGCAAGAACGACTGACTACGAGTGATAGGGGAAGAGATACAAGATCAAGCATTGCCAGTGCAAAAAGGCATCATCTGTTCCATGCGCGTCCTTCTCCCGCCTCTCAGCGTCACGGTATTAGTCCACGAGCCATAGCAACCATCGCGGCACTGGTCTGTGTACGGTCCTCCAGCCGTCAGGGCTAGTCTTGCACCAGTTGTGCACCGCGCGTTGATGTTCGTATGTCGTATGCATGGTCCTCTCTCGCCTCGGCGGACGCGGCGCCCCGACATCTTGGGCTCATCAGCCGCTGTTTCCGCGCCTACAGACGTTATCGCGTCCCCGTGGGGACTTTCGTCGTGTCGTCATCATGCATCCAGCAGTCCCAAAGAGCTGCGGTGGACCAGAGGCTGCAGTGTGCTGCCAATCTGGCCAATTCTGCGCGTTTGGCGCCTCGCGTGGAAAGAGTCTACGACCTACGGAGTACTTATATCCGGTGGCCTGGGACGGGGGCGACCTCTGGCGAAGTATTTCCGTGTGCACAAGCTTGAGCGCAAGCTTGAGGGCGGCGGGGCGACTGTCGTAATTACATCGTAGCTGCTTCTCCGCCCGCCATGTAACGCAAGTGCTGTCAACTAACCATGGACTGTACGCTACTTTACGTCTTGCTATAGCGACATGCACCGTCTTGTCGCGGACTCTACCACCGCCGTTCTTTGGGAGCCACTTCCCGCCCGAAATGTAATTTGAAGCTACTTTCCTTCGTCGTAAACGCGCTTTTTGTCGGGGCTCCATCCCGATCGCTCTCTTTCTGTTTCAGACACGACAGTCAGCTAGGCAAAGGGGACAGAAATGCGTTCGTATAAGACTGGCAGTTCCTTTTTCATCCCATCTCCGTCTCTTGTCCTTTTGCTCTTTCTCTTTGCTCTTCGTTTTCTCTTCTTCCCAATCCCACGGCTACACTTTCGCACACACTCATCGTCTTCCTTATCTCTTCGGCAATACGTCGCATTATTAGGACCTTCTCGCCCCCGCGCCAATAAACGGCGTTGTCTCCGGTACCCGCGCACCAATCAGACAAGCAGCAAAGAAATATTGACAATGGCTGCAGCGACACGAATCCAGCACTCCATGCGACGTCGTCCGGGATTCGGCTTCAAGGAAGCGTGCTGATTTGCTGGCCCAGGTGCACGTCAAGCGAACGTCGACAGCCTGATGGCGCTGAGAGAGGAGAAGACGACATGGTCATGACCAACCAAATTGGGCAAAAGGGTGTCACATAACTTCGCCCGTGCCAAGGCAAAGCGTCCGAATCCGGACAGCCAAGGGAGTGGATGGATCGTCCCGTCGGCAGGCAGTGACTGGGAACCTGGGAACCAGAGCACGGCCGAGAGAATTCCCAAAGTGTCTCCCCACGGTGGATGGTCCTTGGGGGCCAAAGGCAACGTAATACGAGAAACGAGGCCCCCTGCGCACCAAGAAAAGAGCAAAGCTGTGTCCTGGGCGATGGACAGAACGAGGCAAGTGGTCGCGCAAGATGGGGGTCGCGAGGGGTAACGGTGCGTGGACTGAAAACGGCGACGCAGTTGACCGCAATTGACCGAAGTTGACCGCCCTTTGGCCTGGTTTGCGAGATATAAAAGGAGAAGAGCAGAGGTTTGTTTTCAGTTTCGAAGGGCGAGCTTCTCTTGAGCTCTGAGCCTCGTTCTTTCCGTCTCTCCCCTCTCCGACAGTATTCTCTCGCCTTTTCGTCTTGCGTCGCTCCTTCCTCGTACGAAGAAAGTGTCGCCTTCTCCGACGTTGATAACTGCGCGCTTCTTGGCTCTTTTTTTATTCCGCTTGTTCTATTCATCCTTTGCGATATTCATCCCTTTGCTCTGGTCTTGCGCTAAACCGTTGGACTTGGGCCTCTAGCCTCGCCTTCAGTCCCTCACTAAACGCACTAGGCGGCTCCAGAACAACCCTGGGCGACCCAGAACGACCGGAAGGAGCAGTAGTGGCATCGCTAGCGTGCATCGCCCGTGACGTTTCGCTCTTGCCTTTGTCCCATTTTTCTGGCTTGCTTCAGGTTTTTGGATCACGTTTTGCTGCGCCGATCGACAATCAACCTGTCGCCGTGCAACAATCCCCCGTCCGCCGGGCAGGACAGGGCTTTGGGGACGGCACGTTGACAAACGACGATCGACATCGACAGCAACAAGATCCACGTCGACAATCGTGTCGCTTGGGTCGACCCCTTCGCAGCGTGCATCGTATCGTCGGACTGGTTGCTGAGACGCGGCACGCGGCCTCTGTGTGCCATTGTCAAGCTGTTGCCTCCTGCTTGAGAAGGAGCAGTTGAGGTTCTGGAGCGAGATATCTTACCACTCGCCAGCGTCTAAAGATTGGTTGACAAAGCTGCCTAGCTGTTGACGTCCAACGTTGTGGCACCTCTCTGCTACCTTTTCGCCCCCCCTCTCTCTCATGTCCCTCTGTCTTCGTGATGGCAGAGAAAGGCTTCATTGTCGAATCCGCCGAGACCAAGTCTGGCGACACAGCCACTGCGTCTCAACTGGGCTCACGCAGCGCAGAAACGGACGATGGCCTTCCGCATACGTCCACCCACTTCTCCTCTTCCTCGCCAGTAGCCCACCGTCGGCGTCTCGCCGGTATCATCTGGGACTCCCTCGATAAGTCACCCGAGGACCGCCGCCTGATTGCCAAAATCGACTGGTTCATCCTCAGCTACGTCTGCCTCGCCTACTTTGTCAAGTACCTTGACCAGACAAACGTGTCCAATGCGTACGTCTCGGGCATGAAGGAGGACCTGGCTATGTCGGGCAACGATCTCAACTACCTCACCACCTTCTGGACCATTGGCTATATTATCGGCCAGGTCCCCTCGCAAATTATCATGGCCAGCTATGTGTCACCCAGCATATGGCTGCCCTCCCTGGAGCTCACCTGGAGTCTGCTCGTGGCGGGCATGGCCGCCTCCAAAAACGTCACCACCGTGTACGTGCTGCGCTTCTTTATCGGCTTGCTCGAGGCGTCGGCGTACCCGGGCATCATGACCCTGCTCGGAAACTGGTACCTCCCCGAAGAGCAGGGCAAGCGTGCCTGCATCTACCAGGCCTCGTCGAGCGTCGCCCAGATGTTCAGTGGCTACCTGCAGGCCGCTCTCTACTCCAACATGAACGGCGTGCACGGCATCGCTGCGTGGCGCTGGCTCTTCATCTTTGACGGCGTCATTGGCGTGCCCATTGCCGCCTACGGCTTCTTTGCCATCCCCAACAGCCCGACCACGACGCGTGCGCGCTGGCTCAAGCCGCACGAGAAGCAGCGTGCCATTGAGCGCATGCAGAGCGTCGGCCGTCGTGCGCGCGGCCGCCTGACCGTGCGCACCGTTGTCAACCTGTTCCGCGAGTGGCCCGTCTACTTGTTCACGCTGTCGTTTGTGTGCTACATCCAGGCCACGCGCGTCTACTCGTACTTTAACGTCTGGCTCAAGGCAACCGGGCGCTACTCGGTCGAAAAGGTCAATTTGATCCCCACGGCCGGCTTCGGCATCCTGGTCTTTTTCACCTTGGTTTTTGCCTGGACCAGCGACGGCCTGCGGACGCGCTGGCCCATTATCGTCTGGGGCGCCTCCATGTCGCTGATCGGCGCCATTATCCTGTCGGTCACCGTGACGAACGACCACAAAGCCGACCCCAACATCCCCGCGATTCTGGCCGGCTTCTTTTTGACGTACCTCACCACGGGCACGGCCGGCGTCTACATGACGTACATTACCGAGGTCCTGGGGTACAATTACCTGCACCGCGCATTGGTCATTGCGTTGACCGACACGGTGGCCTACGTCTTTGTGGCCTGGCTGCCGCTGGTCAGCTTCAACACGGGCGAGGCGCCCTTCTTCCGTGTTGGCTACAAGCTCACGGCCGTCTTCTTGGCGCTGCAGATTGTCACGATCACGCTGGTGCCTGTGGCCCAGCGTTATTTCCCTGTGGGCAAGTATGAGCGTAACGACGAGCAAGAAGACCAGATCACGGCTGCCGAAACTCGAAAAGAGGACGGAGCAGCCGTAGCATCAACACCACCAGCCCAGAAGCCGAGACCTGTCGCCGATGGAGCGGTGACTGTTGTATAGACGTAACTTTTGAGGTCGAATATAACTGAGCATTTTCTTGGCTGAGACCCGGGTACGGAACATTGTTGCCAATATCATTGTTCCCTTTGTTGTACGGTTCCTGGTTGTGAATTTGTTGATGGCATTTGATTGACTTTGCTGGAAGCCGAAATAAACAAATATTTGACACTAAATACACTAAATGCACTAAATGCACTAAATGCACTGGGGTAGCCTGAAATGCACAGTGAATAGCAGCCATTCTTAGCACCCTAGAGCCCTGCAAGTGCAGCACAACAGTCGCAATTCATTGGACGGATGGCGACAAAGCATGTTCCACCCGAAAAGCCAAGGATCCTCTCTAAGTGAAGAAAGCTACCCGCCATGGTTCGTGGAGACGAGTACGGCACACACTGGCAGTCCGTGGCTTTGTTTGTTGCCTTTCTTCTGTCTCAGTTGGCCTCGTTTGTCAATTTCTTTGTGGCTTCTTTTGCTCCTTCCTTCATCGTACTCTATCCTTTTGGACAAAAGAGCGGAAGAACGCCCCGACACCACAGCTCGTCGCCCTTTCCATTTATCTACTTCCAGTTCCTACTGCCCATTCGTTCCTTCCCGGTTTGGCATGGGTAGCCGTGCTTTCTTTGTATGTTGTACTTCCTTTCCGTTCGCACAGCCTCTCCGGTCGTACCTGCCCGCCAACCAACGCCGAGGGAGTCCAAAACAAAGCCTACAAAATCCACTCCGAAATTTCGACTACCGGTTCCCCCTCTCCGCTCACTCGCTTTTTCACCCATTTTTCAGCCCCTGGTCTCTCTGGTTTTCCCCTTTTCTCTGAAGCCTCAATTTGTTTTTCTCGTCTTGCGTCCCATCAAAGGACCCGTCCGCCACCCGCCACCCGCCACCGTCCCATTCGAATCCTTTGCTGCGCAGCCCAGCTTACACAACGTCGGGATCGCCTGCCCGACAAGCCCAGTTTTCGCTCCCATTCCGTCTTGTTTCTGTTTCTACCTGCTGTCCAATCGCTCGTTCCAATTGCCTTCTTTCTTGTCCCCCTCTAGCCCTACCCACACGCCATCTCGCGTCTGCCAACTTTGCTGCTGCACTACCAAGGCGGTACTTTATCCGTGATCCGACCCGCTAGGAAGCTTCCTGCTCCTGCTCACAGCTGCCGCTTGGCCCTGGTCAGCCCTGAGGTCTGGCTGGTTTTCTGGTCTAACCTGACGCTGCCGACCTGTCTGTGTCTGCCGTGCCACGGCCATCTTGTCCGCCCTGCCGCAGACCTGCACCCGCAGCCTGGGCGCCTTCTTGGCTGTGAGATAGAGAGTGGGTGCGTGTGGCGCTGCTTGCCGCTCTCGGTGACACACAGAGACTCCAGTCTCGTGCCTTACTGTTGTTTATTACTCTTTTGTTCCAATTTCTGTTTTTATATTTTTTTTCCGAGACCCGCCTAACTGGTTCCACGGTGGCCTGCAACTCCGCTTCGGGCGACCCAGGCCAACCGGGGCGGGCCTTGTATCTCCTCTTTGGTCCCTTGTCCGTCTTACAACTGGTGGGCTTGGGGACGTGAACTGGGGACCAGCAGTGGATGATCGCCACGAACTGCCGATTGCAGATACCCAGCGCACGCTTCCTTCTCTCCCCACACTGCACATCACCCCACTATGGACAAGACGGGCCCCGGCACCCCCGAAAGGGGTGGCACATTGCACCGCTTCCGTATCGAGAAGCCAAGACCGACAAACACGGCAGCGGCCCGGCGGCCCTCCAAGACGAGCCCCCGCGTCAAGACGGACCAGAGCATGTACGGCGCCGAAGGCAACGAGGACGCGGGAGAGAGTCAAAGCGCCCAGGGCGAGGATGGCACCACGCCTTCGGCTGGCGGCATGCAGTCTGTCGCCACACAGGGCAGCGACGGGACCGTCGCGATGTACGCCTGCATCCGCTGCCGCAACTCCAAAAAGAAGTGCGATCGCATCCTCCCCGAATGCACCGCCTGCAAGCGCCTGGGTGCCCGCTGTTTCTTCCCCTCGCCCGTTGCCAGCACCGCCAGTCAAGCTGCTGCTCTGCGCGCTCGTGTGACGTGGCTGTCCAACTTCGTTGACTCGCTGATGCCCGTCGGCTCGGCACCAGTTTCGTGCTACGACACGGGCTACGACCTGCACTCGGTGCCACATCTTGCACGGCTAGCGGAGGGTGCAGCAGCAAGGGGATCCATAGCAACAACGACAACCGGGCCCGCACCAGGCCTCGGAGCAGGTTCTGCCCTGGTTCCAGGCGCGGTTCCAGGAGCAGTGCCGGGTGCAGCTCCAGGAACCGAGTCGGCGCCGATCGTGGTATCACATAACCCACCACCCGAGGACCATGACATGGACGGCATCCCACCGGGGCCAACATCTGCTGGCAGCATTCATCAGCAGCCAACGCCCTCCAGCACGGACAATCCCGATCCGCCCCATATGCATCAGCACCACGGGCCACCACCCTCCACCGTACCTCCAATGGCTGCCGCAAGCCGGACGCCCCGCTACACTCCCTCCGATGCTCTCAGTGTCCGGCCTAGGTTGCAGCCTGTGCGACAATACACGCCCAGGTTCAGCCACATGCACCTCGTCCGCGCTTACTTTCGTCACATGCACCGTTCATATCCCTGCCTCTACGAAAGCTCCATCATCGACCTGGCCGAGTCGCACATTGGCCACGCCGTCTTCGAGGAAGGCCACAGTATCGACCTCACCTCTGTGCGCCTGTATCTTGTCATGATTTTGGGCATAGAAGCCATTTCTCGGTTTGGAGGCACCCGGAGTGGTGGCGAGACCTTCCGTAACGGCATGGCCGGACTCGGCCACCGCACAACTGCCAGCGTTGACATTGACGAAGAAGACCGCGCCATTGCAGCCCAGGCGCTCACGCAGATCCGCATGCCGTACCAAGAAATCGTCCAAACCTGCCTCAGCAATCGGTCTATTCCCGCCGTTGAAGTGCTGCTCCTGCTGACCATCTACGCGCTCTTTGACCCGGACGGCTGGTCGCCCTGGGTCATCGTCGGCATGCTGGGCCGCGAGTCTGTCCTGCTCGGTCTCAACCGCCGAGGATCGTCCGCCTCGGAGCCTAGCCAGTTGTTGCAATCCGAGTTTCACCATCGACTGTTCTGGTGTGTCTTTTCCATCGACCGCCTTGTGGCCAGTGTTTACGGGCTCTCCCTGGCCGTCCAAGACTACGACGCCGACCTATCGCTTCCCGGCGTCACAACCCAAGAGTTTGCCGCCTCTGAACAGGCCGAGCACATTACCACGCTGCAGATTGCCCGTCAGGCGATTGCCCTGCGCGACATCGAGGGCCGCTGCCTCTCCCTTGTGCACTTGGACCATGGCGGACTGGCCCTATCCCATCCAGCTGCGCCCTTCCACCAGCAACCGCAGCAGCGCCGGATGCTCCTGCCTAGCCTCCGAGAGCGCCGCGCCATGATTGATGAGCTGCGCGGTGCTGCCGACAACTGGTACACGCAGGGCACGCTCCTGGCGCGGCGCGAAGCTCACGCCGTTCACTTCCATAACACTATCACGTGGCTCAATACCAACTACCACGGCATGCTCATGCTGCTGTACTGCCCGTCGCTCTTCAACTCTGGCCCCAGCGAGCCCGAAGACCTGATGGACCTCCACCGCACCATTGGCAAGTACGTCCAGAGCGTGTATGCCCAGTTTGTCGACCGTCAGTTGGCACTCAATTGGACGACCTTGAGTCGCATGCTGGTCGTGTGCCGTATTTTGCTACACACCTACTTCAACCTCTGCTGTGGCACGCTGCCTCCCAGCAGCGGCGGCCTCGGCAACTACGGCACTTCCGGTACGCCAGGCTCATACTCGCTGCCGCCACCTGTCGCGCCCGAACAGCAGCTGGCGTCCATCGTCGCCGAGCAGCTCGACATGATTCTGCAGTGTGAGGGCATCCTACGCGCCTTTCAACCCACTTGGGGCTATGCACGCAAAGGTGCCATCCTCTACCGACGTCTCGAGGCGGTGTTCCGTATACGCTTGCGCCAAGTACAAAGCCGCGCGGCCGCCGTTGCAGCCAACCCTGAAATGCCACCCGCCTACTTCCACAACAGCCCTACAGACCGAGGGCACCACACATACGGCAGCCAAGGCCAGAGCCAGGGGTATAATCAGCCTGGTAGCCACAATCTTGGCTACCATCCTGCGAACACCTTGCAGGACTATCACAATCACGCCCAATACGTCAGTCAGAGTCAGGGCCAGGGTCATAGTCACACCTCCATCGCGTCTAACTCCCCCGCATCGCCGTACGGCGGCGGAGGGCTGCCGCCGCTCTCCTTGGCTGCCACAACCAGTATGCGCAAAGACGACGTTGATGTTGCCAACGACATCCACGACATTTGCGACGAGGTCGAGGAGCTTATTCAAAAGTCGCTCGGTGTCGCCAGTACCTACAACTACCTATCAGGTGAGCGGCGCAAGCGGCCGCGCCGCACACCAGTGCCTAATTACCACGGGCATCAAGTTCACGGGCATGCGTGAGCAGGTGGCCAGGAGACTTCATCTTTGTTAATCCACATTGGCGTTGATTGGTGCTGTGCTGATTATTATTTATGGACTTATTCATTTGGAGTTTTGGGGGCATTGGTAATCCATATAATGTTTTAACTTTCCCGGCATTCAATTGGCATTTCTTCATCCGTTTAAAATCTACATCCTCACTTGACAGGGGCATTCTCCTGCTTGATTCCTCTTTGCCATTGTTTCATTGTTGCAAATCTCGTCGCCAAACGAACACCGTCATCTTGCACTGCCTCCTTGTCTTGACTATCTAGGACTTTCTTTCTCGGACGCCGTATATTTGGCTATTGTCGCTCCCTGTCGCTTGTTCCGACGCCTATCGCTCCATCTTCGCCCGCAACCTGCAGTGCACTTAATGGGAGGCGCATTTTAGAACCTCTTATTGGCTCGATTTGCCGACGGCAGCGTCCCTCCTCCCATCTGCTCCTCTTTTATGTCGACCGCTCTACATTGCAGTGTCCAGCTGGGTTAGGCGCTTTTCGTTTCGGGTCACCTGGCTTGGGGCAACGGCTCCAGAACATCTCCACATCCGTCATCCCGGACGACTGTCGAGCGGCCTGGCTGTGTAAACACCACGAGCCTCCCCATACATCCAACTCAACGGTTAAGTGAGCCTTGCTGTTTCCCCCTTTTACTGTTGCGGGAATCATCGTCCTTGCCATAGCATCTCCTGCGTCTTTTTGCTTCCTCCTTTTTCTCCGTCTATCATTCTGACTTCTCCAGCAGAAAACAGATCAGGGAGATAAGAGGCACACACGGAGGAATAACAGAGCAGCTGTCCTTGTGTCGTGTCGCGATCATGACATCTCTTCTCCCCCACTTGGTCTCCCATTCGGCTCACATGTCAAATTAGTTCATCATCTCTACTTTAATTAACGTATGACGACACAACAGTTTATGGTCTTAGCGACAAGGCGTTTATTTCTCTTTTGTTCAAAAATTGCCAACGACCTCGCATCCAACGACACATGAACAAGGACCATGCCATCCCAACCAAAACAGCGTGGCGGCAGCTCTACCAACTCCCGCTCCAAGTCGGGTTGCTTGACATGTCGCGGCCGCAAAGTCAAGTGTGACGAGGTCAAGCCAAGCTGCAAAATGTGCACGCGTCTACACCTCCAGTGTGACTACGGCCCCGAGGGCAAGACCATATGCCTACATGACCGGCGCCGAGGGGCCGGGCCGATCAAGAGGCGGCGGTTTACCAACTGGCGGCCCCAGAAGATTGTGCCCAAAACCCCGGTCGCAATGGCAGCCTCCTTAGCACCGGCTATGTCATCACCCGGACCATTAGTGGCATCCACCATCTCCTCGCTGTCGTCACCGACCGTGAGTGGCACGTCACCCTGCTTAAGTGCAATGGAAGCTGCCGGCAGTAGTAGCAACAGTGACCACACGAGTTCGATTAGGCCCGCGTCCGAGTACACTGAGTACCCACCATATGATTCGCCTGTGCCGCAAATCACACGAAACGATATTCCCTCATGTGTGCCAATGAATACCTACCGCACTGTCCGCCAAGCAACTCCCACGCTTGCAGATACCAGCCTAGATTTCTCGTCCTTCGATGTCCTTGGATCGCCGTCCATGCGTATACCATCGCCCTCATCCTATCTCCCAAGTATGGAGGATGAAGACTACATGTTCTTCGGCGACTTGTCGACACCTCTTTCTCCACTGCAGCCACCTTCTACAACGGCGATTGGGACATCGACGTGTGCCATTCCCACGCCCGTCGTACTGGAAGATAGCCCGGCCGACTGCAGCACAGTTGTCCATAGCACCCCTTTTGGCAACCCCTTTGGCCCAGTCTTCCAACTTGTACCCGCTGTGGCCCCGTCGCCCATAAACAGCCTCGTCTTGGGCACCACCACGGTTGTCCTCGCCAGCTTTCCCAGCCGCATGCACCTGACTCAACTCCATTTTGAAGCTCTCCTTCTCTTCCATCAGCAGGTCGGCTTCAGCATTGGCTCCAAGTCGCCCGTCTGGTCCACCCACGCCATCCTCATCAAATTAGCCATCCACCACGAGCCCATTTTACACCTGATGCTGGCCGCCTCGTTCAGCGAGCTGGACTGGCGCTTAAATACCGAGCGCGGCCACAACATCATTGGTGGTGGTGGCAGTGCTCCTGGTGGCCCAGCGAGCCAGACTGTGGCGCCCAGTACGCAAGGTGCTACCGACACGCCTCGCCAGCTCGCCCGATATCATTATGATGCTGGCCAAGCAGCCCTTCAGGAACTGGTGGCCGCACCCCGCGGAGCTGCCGAGGCCGGCCTTTGCCACGTGGTCGTGGTGGCATGCTTCTGGCTCGAGTATCTCGTCTATCGACGACGCAGCACTCTGAAGCACGGGCGATGGGGCTCGCATAATGCGTTCAGCGAGGCCATGGGAGACTACTTGCACAAACACCAGCTCCGGCGCGGCCTCATGAGCAGCGAGCCTCCATCGGCTTTACCCACGACTTACTCCCAGAAGCGCTGGGCCTCGCCTCCCCTAAGTGTCGGGGCTGAGGAAGATGACGACCTAAGCATATGCGAAATTGTGGACGAGACCGGCAATACCACCGACCGTCCAGTTGCATATGATTCGGTCCAGCCGCTTCCCACAGCCGCACCCGTCAGCACAGCAAAATCTGCAAAGAGTATGGTCTCCGCCGAAAGGCCACTGCCACCCGTCAAGTACCGGTCCTTCGTGTCCCGCTTGCTCAGTTGGCTCTATTGGTATGACTGTGCGGCCTGCTTCTTTGGAAAGGGCGGTGCTCTCTCAAAGCAATTTCGCATGCGGCCGCGCAGCCAGGTTGGCTTTTACGAGACGGCTCGTACGACCCTTCTTGACTTTTGGGACGACTACACCCCCGAGGAGATTGCCGACGACAACCAAAACTGGCCCGCCCTCCAGCTCATCAATGAGACGTGGGTGGCCGTGCACCGTCTGAATCTTGTCTATGAGACGGAGGAGACGGAGGAGACGGAGGACAGGGCTACTACCACAGGTCGCAGGCCGAGTCGTCGTTCTTTTTCGTCGCCCTCTCCACCGGATTCCATCGCCCAAATAGCCCGCGATGTTCACTCTCTGCGCTCGCGCTACGCAACCGTTTTCCGCCTGTCCGCCTTTGCCGCCACCAGTGGCGGCCATCGCTCGCGCCTCTTAGCCATGGCTGATTGGGCTGTGTGCCACCATCTGGCGCTGGAGCTGCATCTGCTGCGCGCAGGTGCCACGCACGGAGACCTGTACGGCGAGGAGGATTGTGCAGACGAGGAGCAGGGTCTGGTAGGCATCAGCGGTGTGGATGACAGCATCCACCGTAACAACAGCTACGGCTACAACTACAGCTATGAAACCTACAAGCGACTGCAACGGCAAAAACAACAATCATCACCTTACTCGCCGCTTGGTGGCGACCCTTCGTCCCACCGGCAGGCCGTCAGCGGCCAGATCATCCATCTGGCCGAACGTGCCATTCGCACCGTCGGACCCGTCGAGCTCGACCGATTCCAGTGGCCGCTATTTTGGGCGGGCGTTGAGACGGACAACTACGTGTACAGGTACTTCGTCCTCTCAAATCTAGTCAATGCTGACTTTCGGGCGGCGCTGCAAGCCGTCGTGCGGGAGCAGTCAGGAATGAGTGTCGGAATGGCCGGAAATGAGGGAGATGGGTCCGAGGTTGGCTACTACACCATGACAGCAGGTACTGGTATGAGTATCCGGCGGCTGCGGACAATTTGCCGGGAGGCTGCAATGGCAGCATAAGCGTTTACGTTGTCGATGGGACCGTGAATATCTTCTTTTACAATTAAAGTGCCTACTATATTATTATACTATGAAGAGTCTATCTAGTTCGCAGTGCGTCCTGATTCAAATATGACTTTGATCAAATGGTCGCTATTTTCCATGGTCGTGTTGATGCGGAAATTTTCAATGAGGACAAAAAATTAAACCATAAATAAGAAGTTGACATGACTGCGTTTTTTTGGTATTTCTCTTTCACTTTCTCTTTTCTGCTTTTTTTTGTTTATTTTTTATACTTTTTCTTTGGACTGTCAGCACAAGATATCGAAAGTAAATCAGGGTTAACTTCCACCAAATAGAGCAGGTAAATAACACCGTACTCCGTGTACTGTGACGCAGTGTGATTACCGACATGTTGCAAGAGGGGAATACCAAACGAAAAATACTAGAACGACAAAACGAAGAACAAAGGCAAACAGCTTGAATAAGATGAATTAAGAAAAATATACGTAAGCAATGCACGATGCATGCATGTAGTGATAGTATGATGAGACAAGAAAAGAAACAGTAGGTACGCAACCAGAATGATAAAAATACAAAATACAACGCCTCAGTAGAATGGTCGCGACTCCTGCCACCGTTTGTGCAGGGCAGACCGATGCTCGCTTCCTGCCGGACCATCCTTTTGCGGCTGCTGTGCCTCACCAGCAGGGGCATCCGACACATCACCAGGCCGGCTGGCACCGATGCTATCTCTCGGTGCCGCCGACCCAGCCCTGGAGGTGGCACCACTACCAGTCGGCATCAACGACGCCCGGCCGCTGCGCCGCCGACGAACAGCGCTCATCTCCAAGGGATTCAAAGCAGCACTGCTGCCGTTGGCAATCACGCTCGAGGCGGTGCCAACAGGCCCAATCCACTCCCACGCACGGCCCACCTCGCCGTTTCGGCCCTCGCGCTGGCCTGTGCGCACGTTGCTGTTCTGCTCAACGACGGCACGCACGTGCTTCCAAATGCGTTCCCGCGCCGATAGCGAGTGTGTCGCCCGCAAGACATCGTCGCGCAGCTGAGGCAGGAACAAGAAGGGGTCGGGCAAGAAGCTGCTGTCGTCCGCGTCTTCACTCTGTCCCGAGCCAGCACCGCCGCCGCCACCGCTGCCGCCGCCTTCAAAGTCGTCCTCATATAGCCACAATTCTTTCTGGGCCGCGAGCCGCTCCAGCACAATATCCACCAGCGCAGGTACGCGGGCTCGGTCTGCACGGCGGGCCCTGATCTGGTGGCGGAGGTAGGCGACGCCAAAGAGGGACAGGATTAAAACTGAAAGAGAGAGTCGATGTCTTGCGAGGCCGAGTCGGATGGACCGGCGGACGGCGCAGGTGAGCGGAAGGCGAGCGAGCGAGGTGGACGATAGGCGGGTGTTTGGAACTGTTCCGGGATCTGTGGCGCTACAGGCCCGATAGGATGGCTAATTAGTTCATGTCAGATATTCAGAACGGTAGATGATGGCTAAAGGCGTGCGAGGAGATGGAGAGTAGTGTTCTTACGCGTAGTTGGAATCCGGTTCGGACTCGACCTCGTCGCGGGACTCGATGTCGCCAATGGCGGCGGTCCACAGGTCGTCAAACTCCTCTTTGCTCATCTTCTTGCTGCGCTTCTCGCTGATAACTTCCTTGAGAACAGGCACGTCGATGGCCGGATCCTCGGGTACCTGACCCTCGTCGTCAACGAGGTCACCGCACTCCCACTTGGCGCGACGGTCACGCAGCTCCTCGATGGCCTTGTCAGCGACAGCCTTGACGCGACGGGCACGTTCGCCGTCGGGCTCGCACGTGGGCGGCAGTGGAACCAGGCCGCCGAGGGCCAGCGGGTGCGGCTTTTCAATGTAGCCGTTCTCGCAGCGCACGGTAAAGTCCGAGTAACAGAAGGCATGCGACGGGCAGGGCTCGCACGTCGGCTCAATGAACACCTGCAGACTGTTTGGGATTTCGATGTCGCGCACCCAGTCCGGCAGCCACTCCAGCTTTTCGATCTGCTCCGACAGAAGTGGGACAGCTAAGCGGCCGAGGCCGCAGAAGCCGACAGCACGCTTCTCTTGGCGGTACCAACCGCCATATACACCAAGCAGCGTCAGAAATAGCACCAGAAGCGGTGTGGATAGGGACGACACGATGCCCCTTCTCCGCCGGGCCACGGCTTTGCTGCTACCCTTTCCTGAGCGCCGGCTGGATCCGACGTTCTGGCGCCGCTGGACCTCTTCCTGTTGTGTCACCTCTAGCTGCTCTTCCGGTGTAAACTCCTCGCCGGGCGCAAGTGGGTCGTAATCCTCGTCAGACTCTTCCTCTTCCTCCTCCTCGGGCTCGGGTGACTGTGATACCGCCTTGGCAAAAGGCGAGTTGCGCCGTTGTGCAACAGCACGGATGGGCGGAGAGTCGTAGGCCGGCTGTGCTGCCGGCGAGGACACGACACGGGACTTCCGTGACGACGATGGAACGCGCCCAGACGTGCTCGTCGACGTGTGTTTGTGCGAGGCCGGCTCGTCATAGTTTGTGGTGCGCCGGCGCTGGGCGGGCGAGGAGCCCGAGAGTGGCGAGCTGCCGCTCTGGAAGGGGTTGTCGTAGGTAAAGACGGTGTCGTTGTCCTCATCGGCGGGGCTCAGGCGCGCGTTACGGCCAGTTGCTGCCACCGCAGGAGTGGCCAAGAACTGCTCCTCCTCAGTAGGCTCCAGCTTGACCTGAGGAGTCTTCGTGCGGGCACGCCGGGAGGGCGGGCGACCGGCAGCAACGCCCGTGCGAGCCTCAGGGCCCGTGTCGGTATCAGAGGCAGCGGCCACCGAGTACGAAGCTGTCGACTCGGGCGGCTGGAAGCTACTCTGGCGCGACGAGCGCTTGCGCGGGCTGCTGCGGCGCTGACGGCGCTGGGCATCCTCCGCCTCGTCCTCGTCGTGCTCGTCGATGTGTGGCGTGGCAGCGTGGGACGACGGCCGACCACGGCGCTTCTTGGGCGACAACTGCTCAGGTGGCTCCTGATCAAAAGAGTCGCCAAAGGCCGTTGTGCTCTGGCTGTAGGACGCGGACGTCTGGGCGTCGACGATACCCATGCTGGAGCGCTTGGCGCGAGCCCGGCGGGCGAGGATCTTGCTGGCCTGAGGCGCGACATTGGCGTTAAAGAGTTCGACGAGTTCGGGTTTTTTGGCGTTGGACGGATAGTTGACGTTGTAGGTGACGAGGATAGAGCGTAGGCGGGGGTTCGTGAGGCTGGCGGGGTCGAAGCCCGGCTGGAGGTAGTCGACGCTCTCGGTGTCAGACATGGTGGCAGAAGGTCTGGGCGACGGGCAGGGCACAAAAGAAGTAGAACGGGCCTCAGAGAGTCGCGATGGATGCCGTTGTCGAGATTGTCGGCGATGGTGAGGCTCTCCGGAGAAAATGAGGGAACGAGAGGACACAGTACACGACAATGCAAAATGATGCACAGGTGTCGCGATCAAAGACCAGAGTGTCTGTGTCTGCTTGTCGCGGTGGGCACAGACGAAATGTAGTCGTATGTTGTGTTTCCTGCAGGTTGCATTCCAATTCCCCTTGGATTAAGAAATTGGATGCATGTACTTTGTAGTGAAGGAAGGGTTTCACGTCGTTTGCCTCCTGCCGTACAGGGTCGCTCTGGCTTGTTTTGGATTGCCCTCCAGTGCTCTCTTTTGTTATGGGTAGGAGCGATCAGTGACGGGATTTACCCACTTTTTTGCTGTTCGCCCCCTTGCGTTGTTGCCAGACCTGGTCTTTTTGGCCCTCTGTTGTCAGCGGCAACAGAAATGGGGGGAATGAGCGAGCGGCTGCGAGGGAGGGAGCTTGGGCCTCCCATAAAAGTGGGACCAACAATCGATTAGTCATAAAGCAGAAATGTGTAGGCAGCAGAGCGAGGGCAACTGTCATCCAATCATTTTCTTGTAAGTGCGATTATCTTCGTCACTTTTACAGTTTTTACGGCTTTGTACAAATATTGACACAGTTTTCACAAGGCAGACACAGGGGGCAAATATAATGGCTGTAGACTTACTTAAAAAAACCTTCAAGGTTTTGAGAGTTATATAATTTGCAAATTGATTGGCTCTTATGAGCCGCTATCTAGTAGACCAGGAAAGGAAACAAAAAACTGAGGAACGAGCGTGACGCGTTGACGGTAAAACGGACAGAAAAAAAAAATACAAGATAAATCAAGACACAGTATTTCTTGGATATGCTAATTTTTTATAGGCTTTTTTATAGGCTTTGGTGATTTCCTGAAGAGTAAAATATCGGTTTCGCGTCGACTATAGACCGGAAGGTAAAAGGGATGATTGAAGGAAAGAACGAGATACATCCAATTCAGGCAGGTGCAACATATAACAACCCCCTGTTCCCATGAGCCGTCACAAATTGGGGCCCTGGTACTATCCATCTCTCCAGCTCTCCTCCTACTCAATGTCCACCTTCTGCACCTCGGTCCACTCCTTGTCGACCGTCGGCACAACGACAATCAGCACGCCGTTCTCCATTCGTGCCGTGATGCCTGCAGCATCAACCTCCTGCTTGGCGGGTGCGTCGCTGTTGTTCGAGGTCGTCTGATTGCCAAAGGGTGGCAGATTCACCTCACGCTGGAACAGGCCGACGTGGCGCTCCGCGTTGATCAGACCTTCCAAAAAGGCCTCGTTGCCGGGGCGGACGACAACGCCGGCAATGGTTAGCACGCCACGGTCAGCATCCCACTGGACGTCGATGTCCTCCTTGTTGGCACCGGGCAACGCGACGTGCAAAATCCAACCGCCTCGATTGTCGTCGACAAAGATATCGACGGGTGGGACAAAATAATCTGCGGCGTCATCGTCACCGGCGGTTCCAATGGCATCGGCAACCGGGGTAGCATCACGGGCGCCACTGGTGTCTCCAAAGTAGGTGCGGCTCATCTCTCGCAAATTACGGGCCAAGGGATGGTTGGACAGGGCAGCCATCATGGGGCCGAAGCTACGGCGACCGATGCCGTCGGGGCCAAAGTGGCGGCCGATGGGGCCCTCCGGGCCAAAGGGACCGTTAGGACCGAAGGGACCGGCAGGACCGAAAGGTCCACCGGGGCCACCCAGACCAGAGGGACCACCGCCATGACGGCCGCCGCGACGACCGTGGTGACCGTGAGGGCCACCATGCGGGCCAGGAGGGCCAAAGCGATGGTGGTGGAAGTAAGGGCCACCGGGACCGATGCCTGCACCAAAGAAGTCGCCACGGGCAAAGGGGCCAGGGCCGTGGTGGCCGTGGAAGTCATGGCCGTGAGCACCGCGACGGCCGCCATGACAGCCGCCATGACGGCCTCTGCGGCAGCCACGAGGACGGTCACCCTCATCCTCATTGTCACCGGGAACACCAGGCCCGGCATGGTCGGCAGGGGCAGTGCCCTCTTCGCCAGAGCGAGCAGCGTATGCGGCGGCACGCGCAGCATGGCGAGCATGACGAGCAGCACGACAAGCCGAGCGGGCTCCCTCGCAGCTCTCGCAGCAAGGGGGACCGCGCCAGCCGCGCCAGCCGCGCCAACCACCACCGCAGCGACCACCACGGCGGCCGGAACAGTTATCGGGGGTGGGCTGCTCACCAAGGGCGTTGGCAGAAGCAGCATCAGCAGCGGGGCCAGAAGGAGCACCCGCAGCAGCTCCTGCGGCGGGGGTGTCGCCACGGACCGTGGAAGGAGAGTCGTCCTTCTCGGTCTTGGTGATGTCCTCCTCACTCTCGCTCTCGCTGCTTGAGGACGAAGACGAGGAACACGTGCCCTCCTCATCACCAAACTTGGCATCGGCAGTCGTCATGGGCTCGGCGGCCTCGGTTCCCATGGCAGTGGCAGCATCGGACTCGTCCCTGCCCCAGCGGCCGAAACCGCGACCGTGATGGTCGCGTCCATGAAAGTGACCGGGGCCACCAAAACCGAACTCACCGAAGCCGCCCGGACCGTCCTCGTGGAGGCCATGGTGGTGACGATGGCCGTGACGACCACCTCTGAAACCACGAGGGCCAAAGCCGTGAGGGCCAAAGCCGTGAGGGCCATGTGGATCGGCAAAACCATAAGGAGGAGGAGGAGGATGAGGGATGCTGGCAGCCCAAGGTCCGCCGAAGGGCGCGCTCGCGTAGGCGTCCCAGTCAGCGTGATGTCCGCTCCAGTGATGGTGGTGGCGGTGACGGCCACCGCAGCGCCGGCGACCACCCTCACGGGTGTCATCGTCGCCGTTGTTTTTGTCAGTACCCTTCTCGTTGTTGTCATTGTCCTTGGCATCCGTGGCGGTAGCATCGGCAGTGGTCTCGGCCGACACGTCATCGGTGATCAAGGCGACCTCATCACCAGGAACAGGCCTGGGATCAGAGCCAGGAGGAGGAGGAGGGGAAGGGCCATGGTGGTGATGCCCATGGCCGTGGTGGTGGCGGCCATGATGAGGCGGCGGCGGGCCGGGCCGAAAAGCCAGGGACCCGGGCATGCCAGGCATGTTGTTCATGCCGGGCGGGAACATGTCTTCGTTCCAAGACATTCTGTTTGTGTGCTGGTTGGCAAGTGGTTGAATATGGGAATAGGTTGTGTGATATTTTGAGGGTTGAAAAAGAACTTACAGTAAAGCAAGTAAGATACGAAGAAGGATAGTAAGAAAAGGGGAGGGAAGTCGGGAAAGAAATGGGTTTAAGAGAGAAAAAGAAAGAGGAAAAGGTATCAAGTATGACAAGAAGTGGGAACAGAGAACGGTTAAATAGACCCGATGGGCATACGAGAGGAAGAGAGTGAAACCACCGAAACCAAAGAGAAGAGATAAAGAGAAGCGAGGACCGCAGAGCTGGTGTGAGTTCTGGCCAGTGTAAGTCGCGCTTTGTAGCGTGGGCTGTCAAGAGGCGTTCGGGCTCCGGGCAAAACGGTACTTTGGTACATCCTTGACGTCGGACACACCCCAAAACACTTTGCATACCGCCTCCCGCACCCACCACACTGGCACAATCTAGGACGACGACGACTTGGCTAGGCAGCCAGGAAAACGAATCTGGCAGCGAATGGAAGAGTTGTTTCAGCGGGCAACGCGTTGCCGATCGAGGTCGAGGCCACGTCAAGCAGGTGCAGCCTGTCGTGGTTCGTCATACCTCTTCCATGAAACTCTCGTTTCTCCAAGACCGCCGTCTTACCCCTCACTGTTTTCTCTTTTCATTCGGCTTGTGACAACCGTCTTGCGTCCTAGTCTGTTGATATCTTACGTCTCCTATGATGACCACTAGGCAGCGCCCCTGCCAAGTCAGCTCCCAACCGCTCGTCACTGTCAAACATGAGAACGTTCACTTACGCACGTTCACAAGTCACGAAACAAATGATCCAATGCGGGGAGTCTCTTTGAATCTGAGTTTGTTGATCCTATTTTCTAGGAACTGGGGTGTGGGCAGAATTGGAGGGAACCTGACAAGACGTCTCTAAAACGTTGTCTTGGTGGTGGCGAAAACGCGCGGCCTGGATACTTAACCCCGAGCAATCCAAGAGAAGGCGCTGTCGGGAGGATAAAGTGCTGAAGTTTGGTGGTTGTGTACGCTACATGGGCATATTTAGGCAGGAAACGAAGGACCCGCTTCTCTGCTCGGGCATTGCGACTTCCCGCCAAAACGCCGAAAATCCGACGCTAAGACCCGCTTTTCCCACTGCATGGACAATTAGTCCAAAGACATGCTTTGATCAGTACTGACAAGAGAATCAAAGTTGTTGCTCAACCCAATGTATTTCGTCTTTTCCATCTTCTTCTTTGACTCAGATTGCGGCAGACGTTACCCCTGGCTGTTTCTGTCCCTCGTATTCCGAGCTCTTTTCCCCTTTCTCCTTGGCTTCTTTCCAAAGCCTAATATCCTTAGCACATGTGCTTTGGCTGCGCCGAACCCAACTGCAGGCTGCCATCGTTGAGGAACTGATCTGACAGAAAAGTATGGTGAGGGTTTCAACTTATTTACGCACTATTCATCATTTTCGCTTAACCCGGTGTTGTAAGCTTCCTGTGAGAATTCAAAACTTCCGAACGCGATGTTGAATTGTCCGACCACGAATTGCCCGACCACATGCTAGCAGATCGCTCCTTCTCGACAGAGCCGATGAGTATTTGCCTCAGTCACGGGCAAGTCCTGCGTTTACACAGTCAGGTGGCGAAAGAATAACAAAAGGGACCGTTAAGTGAGGGACAATAATAATGTAATACTCCATATGTGCATCTGGGGTTTGCGATGGGGGCATATCACCGTTGCGCACCACTTCTCTGATGCACCTCTACTACGACTTTTTGTCTGTCAGGTTTTCTTGGCACGAAATCCCCATGGATCCTGTATCATACCCCAGCCGGGACCCGTCCAATACTTCCTCTCCTATAATGCATATGTTCCTTGCCGTCCCAACGCCGATGTTGCACCCCTCGTGATATGATTGGCTGCCTAGATCCTCGCCTACATCAATTTATCGAATTTCGATGCTGATCCCGTAAGGAGCAAAGCAAAAAAACCGAAATCGAAAAGAAGGACGAGACATTATGCTGTTGCTCTCTGCCAAAGGTGTTCAAAGTATTGCTACATAGGTCACCTATTCTTATCAATAAACTTCAATTACTAACGCAACTGGCCCATCTGCCGTTGTCCCCATGCCCACGGCTTCCCCAAAGAACCAGAAACAACAAGAACGTATTTTCATTAGAGTACAGCTCGTAAGCGATGTATAATATAGCACAAGAAGACCAGAAACAAAAAGACAACATTAGCAAGATGCAATGCAATCTAGAGATCAGTCTTAGTCGGGAGGTCGTGGCCGAAAAAGAGACGACAACAGAAGCAGAAACAGAAACAGAAACAGAAACAAAGATAAAGGCAAACAGTATAACCAAAAAAGGACTGCCCGAGTCCGCCTCTCCCATCTTCGCACCGTCCGGCCAGCCCCGCCCAGCCGAACCCCGTTCATAAAAACGCCGTGGATATATAGAAAATTCTGTCTCCCTTATTTGCCCCTCTCCTCTCTCTTTTTTTCTCTCTTTTTCTCTCTCGTTCGGTCTTTTCACCGCAACGACTCGTGTTAGCTGGTTTCCTCAACCTTGAGCTGCAGTTTTGCTTCGGCATCTTCCGCCCGCTTCGTCAGGTCGGCCACCTCCTTCTTCAGCTGTTTGATGTACTCAATCGCCATCTCCACTGTGCTGGCTTTGCTGTTGGGTGCGCTGTTGTTACCACCGCCACCGGAGGCCGGTTTGCTGTCCTTCTTGGCGTCGCCACCGCCGACCTCCTCGTCGTCACCACCAGCCGCAGCGTCGCCAGCCTTGGTGTCCTTGGGTGGCGGCGTGGGCAGCAGCGTCGCAATCTCCTGCAGCGCCGAGTTGATTCGATTCCGCCGGCCCTGCTCGGCAATCTTGTGTGATGTCCGCTTCGAGGTCAGATTCGTCGACAGCTCACTCGGGTACGACACACCGGGAACTGTATTGCCTTCTAGGATGTTCTGGTAGTTGGACTTGGTGGCGAGCAGCCGCGACGCCTGGTCCTCGACGGACGAGACACCACCGGGCAGCAGAGGCTTGATGCTGGGCGAAATCTTGGGCCGCAGCGCGGGCGACACCTGGACAGAGCTGATGCTGGGCCGCTTTTTCGACGACGAGCCGCGCGGCAGCATCTGCGGCGTCTTGCGGTTGGAACTGGCTGCGAGGATGGGCGTGGAGGACGAGCCAGGGAGGATCTGAGGGCTTTGCGTAGCCGAGCGCGTGCCGCCGCCCAACTTCGCGATAGACGGCGAGGGCAGAGGCTGGAAGCCGCGGCCGCCCGCGATGGGATCAAGCGACGGCGACGCGTTTGTCTCGATGGAAGGGGTGTTATGTGCACTTGAAGAGGTCACATGCGTCTTCTGGAAGTCCATGCTGAGAGACTCGGGCAGCTCAAAGTTCTCAATTTGCTCGTTGGCGACGCCGACCGCAGTGGTCGCACCGCCACCGACACTATTGCTGCCACTTGCGGTACCATCACGTTTGATTGGTGTAACAGACGGGGAAGACTTGTGCGATTTTTGCTTCGGCGAAGAGAGTTTCATCAGCGAAGCCGGTGTGGCGGGTGATGGGAAACCGCCTGCGAGTGCGGCACCGGCCATGGCAGGGCCTGGCGCACTCGTCGCAGGGCCGACGTTGTGATTTGGTGCTGCGGAGCTATGGTTCTGGGGGTGGAGGTAGGGCGAGGGGCGTGCAGACCGCGGCTTTGGCAGGGGTGGGGGAGGCATATCTGTGAGGTTTTCAGGTGACACTGAGTCGTTTTCGGAGTCGGTCGTGCCAGCAGAGGAAGAGGATGGGCCACCAACGTGCCCGTGTGAGGGAGTGAGGCGAGCATTGCTAGGGAAGGCCTGTTGCTGCGACTGTTGACGGATGACGGGCGACGACAGAGCCTCGTGCTCAAGCGATTCGGCGAGCTGGTCAAGCACCTGGGCGTTCATGACGGGCGTAGTTGTCGACTTTTTCCGCATGGGCTTGGTGATGGGGGACTGGCGAACGTTGGCTTTCCGTGCCTTGGAGGCGTTGTTTTTCCGTGCTTTTTTAGCAAGGTTGTCGCCGACGGACGTTGAGTTGGAAGAAGCAGGCGCCGCGGCCGGGAGCATCTCCATATCCATGTCGAGAGGCGAAGTGCTGGAGGTATTGAGGCGTGGGTCAAAGGTGGAATTGGGGTCTGTCTGCGCATGTAGGGCCGGCGACGTCAGAGGGCTGAAGTAGGCACCCGGCACGGTAAACTGTGTATCAATAGAGAACTGTGTCTCGAGCGGTGTGACAGCAGGCGACACCAGAGGGGTGAAAGACATCTACAAGGTGACAATGGTTAGCAAAGTAAGACATTCACCGGCGAAATCCTGTTTTAGTTTTTTTTTTTTTTTTTTTTTTTTTTTTTAAAAAAAAAAAGCGTGTGTGTGTGACAGAGATGGCAAAAAAGGGCATCACGTACATCCTGCTGCTCCTTGTAGTGTTGATACCGCTCGTACATGGCCTGCTGCTGCGACTGCTGCGAGGGGTGCTGCTGCTGCTGCTGTTGCTGCTGTTGGTGCTGCTGATTGCGTGGGTCTGGCGAGTGGAAGAACTGGTTGCCGGCCTGCAGCTCCAGACTTTGCGGCGTTGGCGGCACGATGTGATTTTGCCTTTGAAAGAAGGCGATGTTCTGCTCCTCGACCTGGCGCTGCTGCTGTTGCATGCGCTGCTGCTGCAGGTACTGGATCTGGGCGTCAATCTCCGAAATGGCATCGGTGGGCGTCACAGAAGGCATCAGGGTGGTGGGGTTGCTGGCGTGGGAGCCGCCGCCGGTAGTAACAACGGGGTGCATGCCGTGCGCGTGGGAGCCGGAGTGGATACCGGCGGTGCCGGTAAGGCCGGCATCCGAGAGCTGTCCGGTGGTCGCCTGCGCAAGGAGGGCGGGTGCATGATGTGCGCCAGTCATGGGGGTGTCGAGTGGCTCGCTGGCGGGTGCCATGGTGGTGTGTATTAGCTGCGAGGCGCCAGGGGATGCATTCTGGAAGTCGGCG